AAATATGCTAATATTTGATTTTTTTTTTCTCAAAGATGTGATTTAAAGTTTTTTAAAATATTTATTTTTACTTTTAAAAAAGTCAGTGAGTAATAAACTGGAAATTTTAATTTTGTACGATTAAAAACTGTGCAATAGCTAATATTTTTATTAGCGATTTTATATAATATTTATTTATTTATTTATTTTTATTTATTTTCATAAAGCGGTTGATAAGCACAATCACTCGTATTACTAAAAAACTTTAACGAACGTTTTGAATAGATTTTTAATGTTTACAAGGAATTTTATTTTTAGTAAAATAAAATAAAATAAAATGTTAGAATAAAAATCTTATAGGTATAAAAGACATTATTATTATTTCATTTATTTAACACCCAATGTAATTTACAAGGTAAAAAAGGAAAATAAGAAAGTTATTTCTAGTGATTTTCACTTAAGAACTTTTTCCTCCAGAATTTGTTTAAAAATTCCTCTTTGCTCTTTCGCATTCCAGCACTCTATTGCATGTTTCAAAGTTTGTTCAACTTCGGAGGGAGACATATTTCAGAAAAAAAATTATTCTTAAAAATTATTATTAAAAATTATTCGAAAAACTATTGACGTTCTATTTTTCAGCAGCTGTTCTTGAGCACGCTTCGTTGAGTTTCAGTAACTTTTAACAAAAAAGCGATTGTTATTATTTAAGTAATTTTTTTCTAGTTACTTTTATCAAAAATTTTAATAGCTGTACTTTTTTATTGAATCAAGTAAAATCCTTGAGGTCGCGATTGCATCACAAAACGAGTTACTATCTTTGTAGGGGGAAAACATTGAACAAAACGCGTGATTAGCGCGTTTTGTTCATTGTTTTAATTTTAAAGCTGGGTCAAGGCATTAAACAAAATGCGCTAATAACAGGCTTGGTCGGGAAGCAGGTGCGATCGCACTCGATAACTGACCACAAAAATAATATTTAGTTGCGAAAAACCGGCCAGATTTTTTTAGTCGTTTTGAGAACGTATTTGTCCACAAAATAATAAGTTCATTTTATCGTAAACTTTAAAATATTTTGTTTTACGGACTTACATGGAAACATACATAAACCTGAAAGTTCTCAAACATCTTAGTACGGAAAAATAAAAAAAGAATACTTGCAAACACAAAAAACCCGCCAAATCTACGAATAAATAACTCTATTGGTTCAAAAAATACTAACCGAAATTTCTAGAGTATTCAAAAAATACTTAACAAATGTCCTGAATATTCTGTTGAAATATTAAAAAAAAATTGTATTATTTGAGTATTGTTAAGTTTTTGTTGAGATTTCTAGCATAAATTATTTTAAGAATATACTATCAAACAAACTATTATTTTAATTCTTGGAGCCACATCTACAAAGCTATAAATGTTTTAACTAACATTATTTGTTTACAATAATAAATGTTTTAAATTTATATTTTTTAAGTTGTCAACGTTTTTTAAATATATTATAGATTTTATCAGCATATTCTAATTTTTTATATATAAGGGATGTATTTTTTATGTATATAATGTATTTTTATGTATGTAAAGTATTTTCATGTACATAATGTCTTTTTTGTATGTATTTTTTTTGTATGTGTATTTTATTCAAATGTAAGCTTTTAAAGCAATATGTGCGATTGATTTTGTAAACAAAAATACATTCAATAATAACTGCGTTTTTAATGAAATTATTAATAATCATCAAAGTTAATACAAATAATTTTAACCACTAATTCATTTTCCTCAGTGTACCCAATAACTGATTCTTTCTCCCAAGAAAGAAAAGTTTTTAAGTTCTTAGAAATTGTTTTACTAACTTCAATTATTTTTGCTTCAGCCATTCTTACAAACTTGTTATACTTAAAGTTACTTTTTCTGTTTTAAATACTAATTAAAATTAATAAGCCCACTTACTAAAACATCATCAGCAGTATTGTGAAGCAGTTCCGCTTCCTCCTCACAAAGTAATTTAACGTTTTTAGTTAATTTCTATCTAGCTAAATGAATTTCTACAGTAACTCAATGATTTAATTATTTTATTTGTTCATCTTACTATGAAGAATTGTTTCAAATATATTTTAAACTACGCAAAGCATAATACAGTTATTGAAAAAACTTTTTTACAAATAAATCATCTAAGACATAAGTATATAAATAAAAATTATATATTCTCTTTGATAAATCAAAGAGCATTTGTTTCTTTATAGTTGTTACTATATATAAAAAATGTCGCTTAATTTTATAAAAAAAATTATAAAAGAGCAACGTTTCAAAAATAATTGCTCTGATACATTTATTTTGCTTAAAGTTTTTTTGCGTTAGAAGCTATTTTTCTTTTTTTAATTGTCTCTCATCAGTAGGGCTGTACCAAATTTCGGCTCCGGCTCCAGCCAAAATCCGGCTATTTTTACAAATCCGGCCCAAATCCGGCTCCGGCAAAATGTTAGCAAATCTGGCATAATTTTGGCCGGATTTCTGGATGTTTATTACATCTTTCTTACCCGTGATAACATGTATACATAATACTTAATTTTTGAACTTCATGTTTGTTTTGGTATCTGTATTTACATTTTTTTACAATTTAATTAGCTAAGCCTAATTTCAAACAAGAGCGCAACAAAAAATTCTGAAGAAAAGACACACAATATTCTGCAATAATGCAGGTGTAAAGACTCTGAAGTCAATCCTAATCAACTCATTAGATGAGCGTTTCAAAGGCATCGAGGAGAAACCTTTTTAGATTGAAAAAAATAAAGAAAATCCAGCAAAACAATCCCGGCTGGATAATTCTTATACATTATCATCATTACAATGGCAATATATATAGATGAAATTATTCAGTCTACGCCCGCTTGTGGCACAGCACATGAACAACAATTACCAACAGGCATTGACACTCAGCTAAGCCAATATCTGGAAGAATCAGAAATATATAAACACGCTGATTCACTACAGTGGCGGAGTGACAACTTCCCGGGAAAAAAAGTTCTGTAGAATTTCTCTAAATTTTTGAAACATATGGCCTATAGAAACTCTATAAAATCTATATAAAATGTCTATTAATTTTTATAGAAATTGCTATAAAACTTTTAAACAACAAAAATGATGTTTAATAGAAAACAACCCGACAGGCATTTGTTTTTAAAAGTTACGTTCTGAATGTGTTTTAAATGTCTTTTAAACGTCTTTTAAACATTAATGTTTAAAAGACGTTTAAAAGACATTTAAAATCCGAATCCGAATCCGGCCGGATCTGTTAGTAAAAATCCGGCAAATCCGGCTCCGGCCGGATTTGGAAAAATTAAATCCGGTACAGCCCTACTCATCAGTCCAGTTAATCTTATTGCGCTTTTTTGTTTGTTTTTGAAATGTTCTCAAAACAACTAAAAAATCTGGCCTGTTTTTTGCAACTAATTAATATTTCCGTGGTCAATTATTGAGTGCGATCACACCCGCTTCCTGACCAAGCCTGTAATAACCCATTTTGTTCAATGTTTTTCCCCTACAAAGATGGTAACTCATTTTGTGACGCGATCACGACCTCAAGGATACATTTTAATATTAATCCTTTTATTTTTTTTTATTTGCGTTTACCAATTTTTAAAATGTTTACTCAAAATAAATTTTAAATACTTTAAATACGTCTAACAATTAATAAATATTTTTAAATCTATGAAATAATTTTAAAACCTAACAAACCCCCGTAAAATAATTATTTAAGTCAAAAATCTAAAACTAAAAGAAAGTATTTTTGTTCAATTTTATCGACAACTTTGCTATTGCTGAATAATTTTATTAAAATGATAGCTTAAAAAGATTTAAACTTTTTTTTTAATCTGAATTTTCTCTACTTGTAAATAATGAGCATATTTAATTTTTTTGCAATCCAAACTTTTATATTACCTGTGTGCGGTTTTTAAAATACTTTATTAAATGTTAAAATAATCGAAAATTACTTCACTAAAATTCCGCTCAAAAATATCAAACAAAAAATTTTTTGCTCGACGCAAATAGACCTAGCTACACGCAAAATCGCTCTTGGACGACGTAAAATTCATATCGCTCGACGCTTTATCGCAAGGCCTGATGTAGTTATAAAGACTTATGCTTAACATTTTCAGTTAAAAATATGTGTCAATAACTTGATTAAACAAGAATCAATTGTTTGATATATTTTATTCTTTTTTTGCGCAGTCTAAAAATTTTTTTAATTCTCAACGGATACATGAAAATAAGATAAATGAAAAGCTAATTTTTTAGACGACAGAATGTATGTATGTATGTATGTATGTATGTATGTATGTATGTATGTATGTATGTATGTATGTATGTATACATGTACTCTCGAGTCCTTAATAAAAGGTGGGGGAGGAATGTTTATTAATTTTTGGAAAATTTTCCCACTCACCCTAGGCTTATTAAGACCTCCTCTCCATTTAAAGTAGCTTTTACTTGTTGTCAGTAAAAACTTTATATTTGAAAACTAAAAAAAAATCAGTGAAAATCAGCCTTAAAAATTAGAAAATATTTTTTATATTCACTGATAAAAACAAAAACTTTCAGTATAAACAGGTTTTAAAAATTGCTGAACTAGTAAATCAACACTTGTCAAAAGTAAGGTTTTTTTATTACTTACCAAAGTATAAAACTTATATCAACATATTAAATCCTATTGAAATTATAATAAAACAGCTGTATAAAATATCTATTTGACCGAAAGCCACGCTAGAATTAAATAGTTTTGAGCATGTTTTGTAAAAAATGTTAGCTCGGATTTATAAGCTGAAATTAAAAAACAAAACAATTTATACTGCAGCTTAAATAAATTCCCCCCTCCCCTCCTTTGTATTAAGAGTATGTATTATGTACGTTTATATGTATGCATGAGCATGTTTGAGTTAGTTTATAAAAATTTAATTTAACAAGTTACATCAGGTTTATAATTCTGAATTGTTAACAATATATTATACTATATATATAAGTTAATAATTTACCTCTGAAATATTGGTATTTATTAGATTCCAACCTTCTTTGGTGTAACACTTTGAAGGATTAACAAAATAGTCTTGTAAAGTCCAAAATTTTATGTAAAGATTATAATCAACTGGATTGTTTACTAGCTCTCTATCCTCTACTGAATCGTTTGGTTGAATTTCATCAAAATCTAATTTTTCTGTTTTAAAAAGTGTCACATTTTCAAGATGAAAATTACTCATTAAATTTAATGCAGATTTTTCTTCAACAGGAAAAAGTTGAGCAAGAAAAAGTTGAATTCTTCCACAAAATACTGTATTTTGCGATTTTGACAATCTACGTAACATATCATTGCACATTCTTAACAAATGATTTTTTCCTGTACTAAAAAATGGCTCTGCATTCCATATTGACACATTTTTCTCAATGTATTTGAACATTTTTTCACAATCACACAACGTCATTGTGTCAAATATATCACTAAGCAACAAAATAGGAAGATTTTTTGTACAAAACTGTTCTTTTGCATGAATAATGACATAATCTAACAGCTCTTCATACTGAGATATGCATTTATCCATTTCCTTCTCAGAAATATCATTTTTATCGCTATGGTGGAGATGATTATTACTTGGATATAAAATTTTACCTAAGGTTACTCGAAACGCTTGATCAGTAGCAAGCCTACAATCATTTTCAACTCCTTCATATTTCGAAAATAACTTTGAAATCGCTTCTGTTGTATATGGTTTGCTTTTAAGAGAAATACAATCTATAACTTCATTTTGCATTGATAAGAAATCAAAATTATGACTATCAATACAAACCACCATTTTGGAGAATTCAGATATGGTAAATCATTAAATTAATTTGAATCATAAATATTGAAAGCAAACTCGCATATTAAATTCTGAATATTTAATTTCGTTAGAGTAGAAACATGGAAAATGAAAGGAAAAAACTCCGACATTGAGTGTCCTTCGCGTCCGCACACGGGAACTTACTAACGATAACGATGCCATAGTCATAATAACAGATGTATATATAACATAATAGCATAATAGTCATAATAAGAGATGTAATGTATTTTATGATTATGGCTTTGCTAACGAATAAACAAGAGTTCTTCGGTCTCTTGCTTATAAAGCAAAAGTTTTTTGATCTCTTGCTTACAAAGCCGACCTCTTGATTATAAAGCAAGAGTTTTTCGATCTCTTGCATATAAAGCAAGAGTTCTTCGATCTTTTGCTTACAAAGCAAGAGTTCTTCGATCTCTTGTTTATGAAGCAAGTACTAACCACTGCGCCACGGTCACACGAGTACAACTAAGAAATAAATATGAAGCTAAAGTTTTGATTATTGTATTCAAAGCTTTTATTTATATATATATATATATATATATATATATATATATATATATATATATATATATATATATATATATATATATATATATATATATATATATCTATATATAAATATATATATATATATATATATATATATATATATATATATATATATATATATATATATATATATATATATATATATATATATATATATATATATATATATATATATATATATATATATATATATATATATATATATATATATATATAAAACATGATACAAAGGTCTTACCATAAAACATAGAAACAAGGTCAGCAATTTTTTTCCAACTTTTAACACTTTAAGGTCGGCAGTTAGGCCGGCATTGCCAAATGCCGACCCTAATTCTGAGCTGTATATATATATCTATCTATCTTATATATATATATATATATATATATATATATATATATATATATATATATATATATATATATATATATATATATATATATATATATTTAAACAATTTTAAAAATGTATTCTACAAAATAGAGTGCTCAATGTTCTTAAAAGAACAGAGCAATTATAAATTAGTAGAAAATCAATTAACTAAATTTTTTTTTATTTTACACTGTGTTTCATCAACAAAGACTCATCAGAAATGAATGATCAAATTAATAAAACTTCAATTTATACCAAAAAATTAAATTACAAGAAGTCACAAATGTTTTAACTACTGAAAATTTTCACATTTGTGGAATTTGGCGACACTATTATAAAAAGAATTCTTTAGAAATAATTACTTATGCTTTTTATTATAAAAATATTTTTAAAAAAGGGGGGATTTAATGTAACTATTTGAGCTCACTTATTTTTATAGTTTTTTAGGAGAAACTTATTTTCGTGCCTGCATTTAGAAATCAATTCCGATTTTTTGTTTAACAAACATTCTTGGTTTGCATGTGTAATTATTTGAGATTTTTCTTGTAGACATAGTATGCATTTTTTGGAAATATTGTTGTATGCAGACGCTGTTTTAAAAATGGACCAATTTAGTATAAAATCATCAATAAATTTATCTTTTAGTTCCCATATATATTTTGACAGCATATATATATATATATATATATATATATATATATATATATATATATATATATATATATATATATATACAGTCGCGATCAAAAGTTTAAAACATTTTAAAAATTTGCAGAAAATTTGAAATACTTGTTAAAAACCTTTTTTTTTAATTGAAAATTTTGAGTATTAGTATTATATACATGCGTAATTTATGTTATAAGCCTCTAAATTTGTTTTAGTCATAGTTTGTTGTTATTTTAGAAAAAAATTAAAATAATAATCATGGGAAGAACTAATGAATTAACAACCAAAAAACGTGCTCAGATTGTTATTCTACGTGAACAAGGATTGACACTGACTTCTATTGCTTCACGTTTTAATGTAACCCATAGCTGTATCATAAAAACATTGAAGCGATATCATGACACTGGTAATTTTAAAAGTAAAGCTAGAGCTGGACGACCAAAGGTGACTTTTCAAAGGGCAGATAATCGCATCCATCGTTATGCAAAAGCATATCCGTTTGCCAGTGCTTCTGAAATTTCATCTGAGGTATTCCCCACTGGTGTTGCACCAAGTGTTGTGACCATTAGAAGACGTTTGTGCAAACATTTTCATTTAACGAGCCATGTTCCAGCAAAAAAACCTTGCCTTTCTCCAAAAAATATTAGAGATCGTATTGCCTTCTGTCAGAAATACAAGGACTGGTCAGCGGAAGATTGGGAGGATATAATATTTAGTGACGAATCATTAATTGAACAATTTGGTTGTCGTTCTACAAGTGTTAGACGCCCGCCTTGCCAACGATACAACCCCAAGTATTTGCTTTCAATTGTAAAACATTGCCCTAAAATCATGATATGGGGTGAGGATACACCACAATAAATGGCCATATTTATCTTGAAATACTTCAAGAAAAACTTAAAATATTCATGAACATCACAAATACCCACAAGTTTCAGCATGACGGAGCACCCTGTCACAGGGCCAAGCTTGTAAGCAGTTGGTTACTTGAGAATGGAGTTGAAGTCATTGGCCCCTGGCCTGGTAATTCACCGGACCTCAATCCCATTGAAAACTGCTGGAATCATCTTAAAAACGAAGTCCAGAAACTTAGACCATCATCTTCCGATGATCTACAAGAAAAAATTAGACAGGTATGGACTCAATTAATGACTCCTGAATATTTGAGAAAACTCGTTCACTCTATGCCTACCCGGCTAGCTAATTGTTTGAAAGCTCAAGGACACCATACCAAGTATTAAATTCAAGTATTAAACTCATAAAACATTTATTAGTATTTCAAAGTTATTATATTCGGAAATTTTCATGGTTACTAATATATTTTGATAAAATAACTGAATAATTTAATAAAAATTGTGTTTTTTATACAATGTTCCAAATTTTTGATCGCGACTGTATATATATATATATATATATATATATATATATATATATATATATATATATATATATATATATATATATATATATATATATATATATATATATTAATAAACAAGACAAACTTTTTAATTAATAAAACCATTTTATTAACTTTAAACAATACATGTTTCGACTATAACTAGTCATCTTCAGTTGAATTTAAATTTTTTAAAATTTGTTTAAATATAGGTGATTTTTACAATAACAATACAAAATGTAATTATATATGTACAAACTATTAATTTAGTTACAAAAATACGACAAAATCTATAAGAATTACAAGTCATACTAAAAGAACGAATAGGAAGTGACGAAAAAATAGGTTAAACAAAATTTACATAGAAAATAATAACTAAACAGAAAGTGTCATTTGGACATGGTTGACTTGTTTGTTTAAACCAGGTTTTAACCATTCTATGAACATGCTTTCTTTAAGTTTTGTTCATTATCGTGATAAAAAGAAGATATATATACAAAATTATTACGTATCAGATTGATAAAAATACATTGATATAATATTGATACTTTAATATAGTATTACCTAAAAAAAAGGAAATCAAAGAAGATTCAGCATTTTTGGGTATAAAATTCCAAAAAAAATCTTTTCGCAGATTCCCTTAACAGCGCCATTTGGCGCATATCTATGTCTATATAAAAAGTTAATTATCTAAACTTAGAAATAACTTTTTTGTAATTAGCTTTGTAATTACTATTTCTACTGTTTTTTAAATATATATATATATATATATATATATATATATATATATATATATATATATATATATATATATATATATATATATATATATATATATATATATATATACTTTTTTTTTTAATTTATTACAATCATTTTTATAAACTAAGAATATGCAGCTTTGCTTGCCGTTTAAACAGCGATATTCCATTTATGTCTTTTAACTTTTAGTTTTTCAAGTTTTACCATATTTTGGGACCCTGTGACATAATTGAAAATTCAGAACCCCGGGTTTTAGTTTTTATAACATAATAGTTATGGAAGCTATTTGATCGCAGATAATAACTTTGATAAATGATGACGAAAATATGTCTAAAAAAGAATTTGGTAGCATATTATTTTTATATTTAAACATAAAATTAAGAATCTGATATAAATTAAGTTTTTCCAAGTTTAAGATTTTCATATTTGTCATCGCATTGGAAGGATTGTCCATTTTACCTAGATAATGAATTGCTTTACAAGCATGGTTTTGCAAGCCTTATAGTTTGATTAATTTTGTTTTGTGTCTATTAGCCCACACTATATTAGCAATATAAGAAACTACAAAAACCTCGTCGCTGAGAAGGTGGCATTAATATTTGCGCTCACACCAATAATTAAATTGAACAAAGAAACCGAGGCGAATCTCACTGCCCAAATTAACGGTCTTAACAAGAAACTAGAAGAAAAAAAATCCGATACCTACGCCTCGAAACTCAAAGGAAACGCACCGGAAACAGTCAAACACAGAAACGAAATAATAAATATTGTTGCCGCGAAAAACAAAAACAGACAGAATTGTTCCGCGAATGTCATTGTGGTTAGCCTACTCAAAACCTAGAACGAAGGCTTGTGGTCTTGATAACTTCATAATCAAACAAGCAAGACGCCTCAACAAAAAAACAAACTGTTCATCAATCTCATATTATTCAAGTCTCTCAAAGAAAGGGAACAAACAGCCGTTTTATATCACTGCAATCGCCATCAATTTAACTGAGTTTTGCACGAGAAGACAGGACCCCAGCTCAGCAAGAAGCATTCAACAATACTCGAGCTAGACTTAAAAAGAAAAACGAAGAACTGAAAGCATGCTGGGATTCTCGACAAACCGTTTCGGAATGTCATCCACAAAAGAACCGTTCAAATATGCTGTATTGATGTCACAAAGTCAAACGAGCAAAAGAAACATGTGTTCGCCTTAGCAACGACAGCTCTCAACGAATATCTACAAGGCAGCAGTTAAAACAAGGGCCACTCAAGAGAACTCGTCCGCCTAAAAAAACACCCAAAAAACAGTCTCCTGAAAATCTCCGCTTTTGGGTCAACAATCCATGCTCGTTAAATAAAAATAAACGCAACAAAGCCAGAGCCCGTTTACACA